CTTTCTTTCTTTCTTTCTTTCTTTCTTTCTTTCTTTCTTTCTTTCTTTCTTTCTTTCTTTCTTTCTTTCTTTCTTTCTGTGTTAGTTTTTAGTACTGCAGTTATAATCTTTAATAAAGTTATTTAAAAGAAAAAAGAAAAACAACCCACACTAACCACATGCTCCATTACCAAAGTAACAACCCAACTTCCCACAAGAGGAGCTATGTAAGAACATTATTCAGAAGAGTATAAACACACTGCAGCAACCCAGAACAGGAAACAGACTGCCTATACAACATCTTCCAACAAAATGGATACCCATGCAACTTTATCAAAAAGTGCCTGACCGCTCAATCCACTATAGGACAACAAACACAAGCTATGAAAAGGGTTACCTACCATACATCAAAAACTACTCAGAAACAACCAACAGACTATTACAACCACACAGCATAACCATAGCACACAAACCAACTCAAGCCCTCCAAAACATCTTAAGTAAACCAAAAGACCCAGCAGCCCAAAAAGAAAAAACAGGAGTCATCTACAACATACAGTGTAAGGACTGTAACAGCCACTATGTAGAACAGACAGACAGAAGACTAGCAGAGCACATCCAGGAACACCAACTAGCAGTCAGAAGACATGATGAAAATTCCTTAATCTCACAATATGTGGTAAGACTCTACAGTTTCCACTGGAAAACTGTGAGCATCCTAGACCAAGGCAAATCCAAAAACACTAGGGAATTCCTGGAAGCTTAGCACTCAGACAAATCAGCCATAAACAGATACATAGAAATAAACCATATTTACACACCATTCAAAAGAGACAACAAAAAGCTAAGAAGGAAACAAAAATATCAGAACACATCCTCTCCAGGAGCCAACACCCAGATAAGCAGAGATTAACACTAGACAAGCAGAAAATACCCTAATCAAGGAACTACCAAGCAGAAAACCACATCTCTACCAACACTGGCGGGGCAAGCTATTGTATATAAATGGGGAGCAAACCCCACACTCACTAGCACTGATGTTACCTGTTGGGTGTTGGGTAATGAAACCTCTGCAAGCAAACAAGTTCAGAGAGCACCAAGGACTCCATAGTAGGAGGTGATGCTATAGAATTTATTTCATTTTTATCATCTTTTTTTCTCCATACTTGCCCCAAAGCCTATAGGACTCCTAGCTTTCTCTTACAATGGTCTTACAGGGAGGATGCCAAGTAAAGGCATCCACCTTGAAGAAAAGTGGTGGCAGCAGTAACTACTACATCAAAGCAGGAAGGCAGAGCCAGAGTGTGTAAAACTCCAGCAGCTTTTGGAAGAAGGGAACTGAGACGTTTCATCTTTTAACCTGCCACTACATTTATTAAATCCATAGTGCTGAAACACCATTGTCCTGATTCACATGGTATGCTAACCCATATTGTTCAGCTGTTGCTTTAGATGTCATCCTCACCTGAACTACAGTCTAGCAGCCTTAAATTTATCCAAGAAATAAGGTGGGGAGTGCAGAACAGGCTACAATTCTGCTTTTCTAGTTTATTTTCTATCATCATGGGCAGATGACAATTAAAAAAAACACAGCCTAGACATGGTAAGGAACTAACTTTTCCCTATTTCATTCATAGAGGCCTTGACTCTGATGGGACAAAACACCCATTTTTTGTTTTTAAAATGAGTGGCTCGATAGATATGGAGCATGGAGCATGGGCATCAAGCCCTTTAACTGCAGAGTATAATTTTTTTAAAAAGCACACAACTTTCTTTAATATGTTTTAATCCCAAGAATTAGGAGTCAGAGTACAGAATCTTGAGAAATGATATAGGAACCCTCCAGCCCTTGTTTATTAGCAAGTTCACTAAGGTGGGGATCCCTTTGAAGATTTTGAATTTCTTTTGCCTAAAATATTGCATAATGGACTAAGAGTCTGTTTATGTTACAGCCCTGTCTTCAGATAAGGAGGATGGAGAAGAAGTGGAGCTAGAAGCATCAAGTGGCAAGTATACTGTTACTGTACTGGAGGTCCCGGCAGTACTGGAACCAGTGGCTCCGTCTTGTATTGACAGTCCCAGCAAGTTCCCCTGCCTGCATCCACTGACAGTAACTAGAATCAGAAGCACAGTCATTTAATCCTAGGCAAGGTGCTTCATGAAGGTCTAGGACTTTGAAGATCTGAAAGGCCAGCAAAAAGGCATGTGAGTGCTAATAGGAGGAGACTCTGCAGCTAATGATATTGCAGCTGTCTATATCCTATGACAGCTTGGTAATCTATTACTTGGTAGCCAGCCAGGCAAGTACAGAAAAATGTATTAAAAAAACCTGTAAAGGGATCTCACATTGCACCCATCGTCTTGGTTTAAATAACTTTTACCGTGGTTAGCATAATATCTGAACTGATAAAGAGCACTATGTGATAATGGGCTGATAATCAGAAATTGTACTTTATTATAAAGTAGGTTTGAAATTGATATTTGTGCTAGCTATGATTTTACATGATTGACAAACCATAGTGACCATCACCACTGCTTTCAGAGTTGCAACCATAGGGACAAGAATGAATTTATGAAGCTATATGGTAAGAGAATAAAAACCAAAGCAGACAGTTCTGCTTACTGTGGATTTGCCTGGGGAGGGGTAAGCAATAATGAATATTGATTACAGTGTTGAAACTGAGTCTTGATTCCCTTATCCTGCTGGCCTATCTCAGATAGATAAAGTAACAGAATGAAGTTGGGTTTACTGTTATTGTCTTAAGCTCTAAGTGAAGCTCTTCAGATAGTCAAAAAGATATACAGTATATGAAAAACAAGCAGTAAAATAAAGGTGTGATATTGTTAGTATAACTGCTCTGCCATTCTTTTGTCAAATAGATAGCAAAGGCTAGGATGTATGATGTATTTGAGAGAAGCATTTCGGAAACAGTTAATTGTTACAAAATAGTATCAAATATATTTCTAAACTTTCATGCATAAATTCAAGTATAAAAATCCAGTAATCAAAATGTTGGATTTCCTAGAGATTTTCCAATATAAAGAAATATTTGTTCATATATTCACTTTAAATATCAATGAAATTTATATTTGAAACTATAATCAACTAGTTCCAGGCTATTTGTTTTTATTTGTGTGAAACAATACTGTACAGATAATATTTTTACTGCAATTTGTTCTTTTTCTATTGTATTTTAAAAGCCATGGGTGGTCTACATAAAATGCTGTATATAACAATTAGTTGTTCAGAATATTTATAATCTACAGTCATCAACAAATCTTGACTTGAAAATATTTAGAATTGGCAGTGTTATCTAGAGGTCCCCTGCTTCATGTGATATTTCTTCCAACTTAGTCTTTGCAAAAGATTGAAGAAGAACTAGTATGACATGTGAAACTAAACTTCTGATGACCCTATAATACTTTTATAGGGTCATCAGAAGTTATCAGTAACCATCAATCAGCAACCATCAAGTATGTTTTGGCATTAAACATATCTTTTTAATTCTCATACCAAACATACCACTGACTACTTAAACTTTAGATTAAACTAGCCAAATTTAAACTAGCCACAATATAAAGAAAACAAGTACTTAATTAATATACCTTATCTTCTTTATTAAGCCTTCCCTGAACTTTCTCAGGATCTGTGACTGTTGCCTGGACTTGGGAAATAAAATTGCGTAAATTCTGCTTGGCCTCTAAAAAGAAAGAGAGAATAAAGAGACATGAGAAGATCCAAGAAATGCTGCCATTCTATATGATAGCAAGTCTACCAAAGTTAACTGGATTATCTACATCATCTAGATTCTTCATTTATTCCCATTTTGCCCTAAGCAGCAATACATTTTAGAGATTAAATTATATGAGATTTTTCTAGGAAAAAAGTAATTGCTGGGGGGTATATTTTTATTGGGATCACAGCCAGAGATTGAAAGATTAAACTGCCTTCACTCTCCAGTAATCCTGATGAAAACTGCCCCTACCTACTTCGTTCATACTGATTTTTTAAAAGGTATTGACAAGAGTGCACATGCACCTATAACTGCCTGTCTGCCTTTCTCATGTTGGTTTATCTCTAACTGTGTTTGGAATGGCAACCAATGTCTTTTCTACTAGTTTTTAATTTATGGATAGTATCTCCAGAATGGTAAATTTCCTTTGCAATAATTTCATTATCTCTTGTTCCTTGTAGACATGACATATAGAATCAAGGCACATCACATAGCACATAAGGGATCTATCAGAATGGTATAAACAGTCTACCTTCCCTTAAGCTCTCAGGGCAGAGAGAGACAGATGTTACATTATGTCATGCTCCCATTTATGGGTTTTTCTTTTTACTTCCATACATGTTCACTCCCTCTCTGTAAGCACAAAGGTCCATGAGTTCAATTCCCAGTAGATGGTTTGAATCCCATATAATATCTGGCTATCTCTCCTATTGGGGGAGATGGGCGGTGTACAAATTTAACAAACAAACAAACAAACAATTACATCTATGAATCCCAAATAGGATGAAACCAGTCATGTAGTGCCCACCTCCTGGTGATCAGTGTAACAAGCAAGGAGTAGAGGATGGCAAAGACAGCATCTAATTTCTGTTCTGCATCCCCTCTCCCTCTATAAATACCCCAAGGTGTATATAAACCATAGAAAAAGTAATAGATATGTCTTCTCCCTGCACCCTAATAACATGTAAAGGTGTGGTCTGAGAAGCAAAATTAACAAAGCCTCAAGTCATGTTTATACAGCTTTGGAGAAGGTAATTAGAATAATAATTTAAACAATTTCCATAACTGCATCTTTTTATATTAAAAACAGAATTTAAAATTTTTTCTGGTATAATTAAAGCTGCTTACATTTGGAAAACAACCATTTATTAGAAAAATAAAATAACATTTGTCAATGACTTTTAGTCAATATTCACTAGGTTACGGTCTTCAGAGATGCCTTATTCAGAATTAGGGAAAGCATTATGTATGCTTACACATTTTGACACATGAGCAAACAATTATTAGTAGAAAATATAGTAAGATTTTCAAATATCTCTATAGAACTATTAATTTTCTCATTATTTCAGATACAGGCTGAGGTTTTCATGGGATCTGAACTGCATTTCAATTAAGCAACCCACAGTATCTTCTTCCCTTGTGAATGGCATTAATTAGCCAGCATTCACAAGTCAACTGTACTAAAGATTTCTTTATCTGATACCAACTATAAACATAACATTTTTAAAAGAACAAGTATGACAGGCCCTCTCCCAACATCGGTGCTATCTAAAATATAGGGAGGTAAAGAAAGGCAAGGATCAGCAGGGGAAGAATATATAAATAATTCAATTATATGTAATTTGTGTTCATAACACCATGGTAGAACTAGGGACAAGAGATGTCTACAACGTATCATTTGATAAATGTAAACTGTGTTTTAAGAGTAGGAGGATATTCCCAGTTTTAGACATTTTCTATTCTTTGCCCTGAGGCTGCTATGTTACATTTCTTTACTGTGAAATGCTTTCCTTGAGTTCTTACTGACATCATAAGACACTTTTCTATAAGATCTGGAGCTCCTTTATGACATCACGGAATCTTCCCACAGCTGATGGGCTGATATTACCTGCATTCAAATCTCTCTAGTGCCCAAGCTGGAAGCTTGGTTATCATGGAAGGATTTATTTGATTAAGACTCTTTTGTGACAGTCCATAATGAACCTCAAAAGCCATTTGCTGCAACTCCTACACAAGGAACATCCTTTACATAGAGACATTTTTGTCTGAAAATAGCATAAAATGTTTCTGTGTGGTTCTTGCCAGATTTTTCTTTTGTGGACTATTTTCTTGATGCAAGATGTTGTCGGTTATTGTGAACGACCAGCCTGGACAAGAGTTGCTTGGGAAATGACTCCACAGGATCTGGAATTGGTGACTAAAGAGCAATCTATCCTCTTTCATAACTCAATATGTCACATAGTCCAGTGTTTTACTGGCATAGGACTATCTAAAGGGTGCCTAGAAGTATTATATGCTAGTTGCAAAGTGGCACTCGTCATAGCTGTAGGTTTAACTGCACACTTCCTTTTACACAAACTGAAACTGACAAAAAGCACAAAGGTAAGATTTGGATACCAGCTGTGCAATGAAGAGGATGCTTCATCCATTTCCAGTTATGCCATTGCCTGACCTCTAGATTTCATTCCCTACCCCTAACTCAGAATCCTATGAATTAAAAATAATGCTGTCTAATGATGATGTAATTATTTCATCTCACTCACATCCCTAACATCTGTCCCCCAATTCTCCAAAGCAGATTTAGTGGGAATGCTATTGGATTGCACTTCACATTCTCCACCATATATATATATATTCTGAGTAATATATAATTGCCAATTTAGTGTGGGCACATGCATATTATTAATTATTTTAATCCAATAAATTATCCTCATTGAATATCTGGTTCAACCAGCCTGCCTTCCAGATGTGTTAGAATTGCAGCTCCCAGAATTCTCTGCTTCAGCATGGAATTCTAGGAGTTAGAGTCCCAGTTCATCTGGAGGGAACTCTCTTAGCATTCAAAGAATTATAATTTCCATAGTTTTTTGAATGGCTAAATTCTGATATAGTCTGGTACAGATATGATTTGTGTTGCTTTGCATTCAATAACTTAATTATGATATTATGATAAATCCAAGCTGTATTCTAAGCTAAATTTTGTCTAATTTAGATTTTAAATGGTATGCATATATAGTGCCCAATCTGAAGTAAGAAGCTCCAAGCCAGGTGGTGTACATTCTCAATAAAAGTTGTAATTCATGGTAAAGAAGTAAAAATATCTAACTCTGTTGTAAAGACCCATCATATCAATGTAACAAAGTTCAGCTCTCAGACATTATCTTTATAGAAGCTAACAAGCATGGAGCCAAAGGCATGGAGCAGATATTTTTATGTCAGAAAATCAAAACAATTCAAGACAATGAGAATATTGGGGAGGGGGGAACTTTGGGGTGAATTCTGAAGCAGGTTTAGAAACAGCTGAGATGGGGGCACCAGACAAAAATCAAAAGCAAAGGTAACACCTAAGGAAGGCATAATAAGCAGTAATGAAAATCTGTTACCAGAATGTAATATTGTAGAGCGATTACAGTATAGCTTTATACTAAATAATTTTAAATAAAAATATTTTTCATGCAGAGAAGAAACGAAACAATCAATTATATAAATTATTCCTTGTGGTTGAAATAAGAACAGGCTAAAAGTATTTAAGTCAGTCTGAATGTAGAATTTCTGGATATATTTGGTGTCTGTTTACCTAGACACCAAGGTAAACAGTGGTTCCCAAGGTTTAAAATATGGACCTCTCTATATGTAAGGTTAACAGTCCTATTACTAGCTTTGATCTTATGCATTTAACAACAGCCTGAATTCTGACACTTAAGAAATTGAGTAAGAAAACCTTTCTTGACACTTTTATTTGTATGACAAGAAAAGCATACATTACTTATTATCTGCATATCAAACTCCAGTTGAAAGCTATCTGCTACTTAAGATTATTCTTTTTTATTTTTATTTAAAACAAAAATGTATTTTCAAAAAAGAGATTATCTACAAATGGACAGATAATTACTGAAGTTATACAATTAATGCTCACTATAACATTAATAAAAGATACCAGAGTACATTGAGTTGTTTTCATGATATAAAAAAGAAGTATAAATATTTGAGCTTAATGCAAATATCTCCACTATATTATTATTTATAAATGTTTAAAACAACAATATTAACATTCTTGCAATTTTTCTCACTTGACAGTCAGAGAACCCGACAACAGCAGTATCAGTTGTCACAGAAATAAATGATGACTATAGCCACGACATGAACAAAATGCTCTACAAGTTAGTGACTAACACTTCCAAGATGATGAAATACATGAAGCGTGTCACCCATCGTCACAAAAAAGAAATCAAGTACCGTAAATTAAACAAAAAGAGAAAAAATGATGAACTTGATGAAGACGAACAGCTCTTCCCAGTTTGTCTGCACAACCATAGCTCCAGTGCAGACACCATATAATATATGAGCCCAAAAGTTTCTTCCTTCCTATGTTTAGTTCTTTACTGAATATTTGGAGTGCTGCCTCTGATCCAGTAAGGTGGCAAAGGAAATAACAAACCTCCAACATAGGTTGCTGGTATGTTTGAGATAGATTCTATGCAGGACATTATGGATTGTACCGAAGAAGGCACAAAGAGGCTATTAAATGTTGTTTCAAAGTCAAACCAAAGTGATTTGCATCTACAATATCAATAATTAAAGAGTGTATTTGGTAGATAAAGCTGCGAGTCTTCAATATGATCTTACTTCTGTTATAAAAAACTGGGACTGACAAGTGTTTAATAGAAGGTTCCCTTTTCACAGGGAGAAAAGTGCTGTTTTAGCAGTTGCACATCCTTCCCACTCACTGGATTTCAGATATAGCTTTACCACTCACATAGCAATTCTATGTGACAGAAAAAAAGATGGGAAAAAAATCCTTTCTTCCCAGTGCTCCCTTGATATGATCTCTGCTCAGGGGCAACAGGCAAGCAACGATCAGGCATAAGGCAAGTGATCATAAGAGAATGAAAAGATGGCCGAGGGGTTCAGTAGCTAGAAGTCAAATTTATGTAAGTTGCCAGTGATCATAAGAAAGGAAAAGAATCCATTTGTTTTACTTTTCAGCCTCTGATCATTCCCTCAGAACAGTTTTACCTGCTTTGTTTTAGTGCTCTTGTATGGTGATCAGTTACATTTTTGCCTCCGAAGACATCTTGATAAGAAATAATCCTTTTTTGAGTACTGATCAGATACAGACAGTTCTTACAAAACGACAAAATTATCAAGAGTTAGGAAAAGGGTCACTATTGTCACCCAGGCCAGACTAATAAATATGACAGTATCAATAATACTTAAAATACTTTTACAAGAATTGCAAAGTAAGAATCATGGCTCTGCTAAGGAGTGACCAAGGGATTCAGGATGAAGGTTGGTGGGAGAGAGACACACCAGAGATCATACCTTGTAGTATTAATCTTACTGTCAAAGGTTGGTTTCATACAACATGCTGAGCCAAAACTAAACAAACTACATTATGGCTTGATGCATAAAGATGGCATTCTCATTTTGATAGCAACTTTTCAGGTTAGCAAATTGTATTGAAAGGCACAAGCTTTAACGAACTATAGCTCATACCTTTTAATAAAACGTGTCTGAAAAGGTGCTACCAGACTCCACCTGATTTTTGGCTGCAACAGATTAACACAGCTCTCCATCTTTAGAGAGTGAGTTAATTGATCTCTCTTTTGATTACATACAGCCCTTATAAGTGTGAAGGAGCAATCAGGCTGCAAAACAGCACAATAGCCTTAGGGTTGCTAAAAATTCAGTGATCTCTCACCTGATTCCAAATTAAGAATGTTTATTAAAGAATTAAAGTGGGATTGCAAATTTAGGTAAAGCAAGCAGACTGAAAGAAATTAGTATCTCTATTTTGCATAAAATAATTCTAAGCAGCATCTAATCCCCAATAAATATTCACACACATCTAGTATGTAAGGCACAACTGTAAATGTTACTGAAAATGGACAGTTGACATTATGAATAATAAAAAACTTGAAATATAAATGCCAGGGGACACTGGAAAATTAATTATTTGGGGAGCAGTAAAAAACCTTTGTTTTAACTCATATAGTACATTAATAAATATTGTGGTTGGTTTAGCTTTGGCACTGTATGATATATAAACCCAATAATTCTGGTTGGTATGGATTAATGTGTTGTGTGAACCTGTGATTTATTCAGTAACCATGACTGTACTAAGCTATAGTTTGCATGATAAGTGAATATCTTTTAGTTCATATCCAGTAGGAGGAAATTCAGTATCAATTTTCACATGGTTGTATGGAAAAAGACATGCCTCTAAAAAGTTTGATTACTCAGGCATCAAATGTAAGACTGTTGATGAAAAGCAGAGGGTCTTTTACCTATCTCTTTGACAGCCAGAATATTTGCATGGGTTTGTTAGTTTCAATGCATGTTAGATGCTTAGAAATAAAGAATATGTTTGTTGGAAGATCCAATTCTCATGCATTGGCTTGTTGCCCCTCTCATCCTCTTGGCTGTGGTCAAAGTTAGTACAGGTAGTCCCCAGTTTAAGAATTAGTTCCATTCCCAAGGTCTGTCCTTAAGTCGAATTTGTATGTAAGCCAGAACAGTATTATTGTATAATACTGTTGTATTGTGTAATGAACTCGAACCATTGTATAATTAACTCAAATCATTGTGTATTTAACTCAAATTTTGCTACAATAGGCTCAGAATTAGTTCCATTCCCAAGGTCTGTCCTTAAGTCGAATTTGTATGTAAGCCAGAACAGTATTATTGTATAATACTGTTGTATTGTGTAATGAACTCGAACCATTGTATAATTAACTCAAATCATTGTGTATTTAACTCAAATTTTGCTACAATAGGCTCTGTTCTTAATTATAGGTCGTCCTTAAACTAGGTGTTCTTAACCCGGGGACTACCTGTATAGGGATTCCTTTTGCTGAGAGCTTTTAATTTTCCTCTTTGACTCTACTTTGCATGTATTGTAAAGGATATTTCAGTTCCTAGTTCTTGCTTCTTTTCTCTCTCCTCTAATAATGGAATAGATGGCTATACCAGGCTCTATGTGGTCTAGCAAACTACATGGCGTTTCCTTTGTAGAATACAGCTAGGTCAGGTATTAAGCCTTTCTATCTAAATGTAATTTCCTAATTCACTTTTTTTCCTTTTTAAAATAGCCTTCTGTGAATTGCTCTATCATTAATGTCTCACAGCACAAATGAACAATTTTGGGAAATTGTATTTTTAAAAACAACACACTAGACAGAAAGCAGCTTGTCCATAAAATGCTCCTTGAAAGTAACTTTTTGTTATTATTCAGCAGGAACTAACATGGAATATGCAGTTAAGATAGGGAATGTCTTGTCTGTATTCAAATATGAAAAACACATTTTTCTTAAATAAAATGATTTCTTAGCATGATTTGACTGTTCACATTTTTAACTATTTATCAGCCCCCTCCCGCGGGATACTATTTCTCGTGAAGGTATTAAATTGTTCCATTTTTCTCAGATGTTTAAAAATAGTTCAGTAGTTCACTTCTTTTTAAGAACCTGAATAACAGTGGAATCTATATACTAAACCAATGATGTTATATCAATGAACTAAACAAACCTGGCTGTTATTGAAAAAACTAAGCAGAATAACCCCCAGGAAATCCAGAACTTTAAACTGAAGATGACAGTAGTAACTATGACTTAGTAGCTGTATTCATGCCATGCAGTTTCACAAGATCAAATAAGGCCGTAGTAGATGTATACAACATTCCAAGCTTAGACTGTCTTGTGTTGTTTTTATTATTTATTATGCTAAAGTAATCAACAAAAGAAAACACATACAGCATTAAAGTGCAGATTCAAGACTGATAAGCATAGTACTTTAAAAATTAAAGGACCATGGAAATTATTATAAACAGAACTCCAAAAGCTTAGACCATATTGCTTAAGTCTTTTTTGCTCCTTTTTTGAAAAAGACTGACTTACTGTACAATCATTTGCAGAATAACTAGACAAGATCCCAAACTCATATATTAATAAAGTAGGATTGCAAATAGATATTTCTTGTTCAGGTATAAGCACAGAATATCATCACCATCTCATCTTCTCCCCAGAATTCTCTTGAAATTTTCATAATTTTTAATTATGGAGGTAAGAGGGTAGTAAAGCCAACTTTAAAAAAAAGAGGAAGAGAGAGGGCAACCTTAATATGTACCATTACTAATCACTCATGTTGAATAAATGAATAAATCATAGCAATCCAAAATAAAAAACTTTGAGGAAACCCAAAATAAATTATAGCCAGATTTAAGAACTGCTGATAAACTACATCAAAGGCTTTCTTAGCATCTAAAGAAATTATAGCTGCAGAGTCTTGCCTATTATGAATTAAGACAAGAACATCAATTTAAAAACTTTACTATCAGAAGGTTGAAGGACCTGTATAAATCCAGCCTGGGTTTGGATGTACTATAGCTGGAAAAAATACCAGATAATCTATGGCTCAAAGTAGCTGCTAAAGTCTCAGCATCCACAATTATCAAGGAAATAGGTCTCTAATTAGAACATGCAATAGAGTTCTTGCCCAGATTGGGAATAGCTATAATGTTTGTTTCATTAAGTTTTGGTATAAAATTCTAGTAAAATAGGAGACAAAATCTCAATCAAATGGAATAACACCAGGACCAGGAGTCTTCTCAACTTTATTTAATAATAGTGATGGTTTCTTAAAGTGAAAAAGATTATGTAAAATTAAGAACTTGATCCTGCTGTGATAAAGACGGTAATACAATCTTCTGTTTTTAAAAAAAGTCTTATCTTCTGCTGATGTAGAATTAATATTATGCAGTTTAAAATAAAAAATGTTAAATGGTTGATTAATGAGTCTGGAAACTATACACACATTTCCATTTGTATTCCATATTGATGGTACAATGTTTAACATATAAGTCTAGAATCCAGTAACTTACTAGATATCTCTCTTTTTTCTCAATATTTTTGCTTTGTGAAATGTAAAAAAATTCAGTTTTGGAAGCATAAAGCTTGGTAGGTGCATATTGAGCAGAGACCAAAGATCTCTATCAATCTATATGGGATGCATAAAGTGATAATAATCCTTTAACTTTCACCTAAAACTTTAACTTTAGCCAATTGTTGCTTCTTATAAAAAGTGTATGCAATAGTATGACTTTGAATAAATGCTTTAAGAATGTTCCATTCCAAAGAGTAATGTTACCAAGTTCCTGTTAATATGAAAAAAAACCCTGTATTGTCCCTGATCCATTTAACAAAATCTTGATTATTCAGCAAAGATAGATTCAAGGAGCACTTAAAGAATATATGTAAATTTTGTGGGGGTTTGTGTTATGAATTCCAGACCATTTGGATAATTTGTGGTTCAATGTACTGTGCAAACCTAGAAAATGGCTTAATTCAGTAATTATGTTAAGAATTCTTCTGATGGAGCAATTTGTGGTTGATGGTCCTGGAAAGGGGTCAGTATAAGTAAAGTCCAGCAGAAGCAACTCTGATATCTTCTCCACTGCCTCCCTAATGTGGAAAGTTGATCAAGAGCCATACTATTTAATACACTAAGGTACTACAAACAAAAGTGACACCATTGGTTTAGTTACAACTATCTGAACTCTAGCAACAAAAAAATTACAATGATACTTCAATGATGTAATTATAGCAAAATGTACAGATGAGATCTGCCTTCAGGTTGATATCAAGATTAGAGAGCTCAGCTGTCACAGTACAACTGCAAATCACAATAATGTGAATAACAAATTCAAATCGGATTAAGGCGTTTAAGGTCTAACGATTATGGTGTCACTCTATACTTGTATAGCTGAAATGGAAAGCAAATGAGGTTTCCTCTGATTTAAGTCAAATGCTAGATTTATTCAGGGCAAAATGAATGTCAGCTATTTTAAACCAATGGTATATTGATAATATTTGTATTTGTTCAGGATCCAGCTGATTTGAGTACTATAAAACTAAATCCACATCTCAAAGAAGCTTAATGTTACCTGCCCAATCCAAGAATTCAACACACTCTGTTTGTTTATATCGATTTGCAATTTCTCTAGCCTTTTCACCCCGGAATGTAGTTGCATAAATGTCAGCTTCCAGCTCTACTAGAGTTTTCAGTGTGTCTAGCTGACCCCAGGCTGCAGCACAATGAAGAAGTGTATAACCTGAGAGAAAAAAAGAAATCAATATACATGACTGTGCAGAGAATATCTGTTTATAATACTTTTTTTCATGATGTATTTCTTTACATACAAGAAAACTCATCTGCCCATTAGCATGCCATCACCCTTCTGTCTTTGCACACCATCCTTACTTTATCATATCCATATGCTGTTTTATATATTGCATTTTGCTTTTTAAATTTCTCTCTTCTTGTTTTAATCTCATCTATTCCATCCAACCATAATTTTCTTGATTTTCCTGTTCTTCTCATTCCATTCACTCTTCCCTCACATATTTGTTTAGCTGTTCAATCTTCATTCATTCTCTCTGTACAACTGAATCAATATACTTCTTTCATACTGGTCAGTTACTTTTTTCAATCCACATTTCTTAAGAATCCATTCATTCTTAACCTTGTCTTGTTTTACTACATATACTTCTCAAGTAACCAATTCTCATTGCATTCAACTTAGATTTATTTTTCTCCTGAATACAACAAAGGTTCATAGTCAACAGCATGGCATCCTCTGCATACAAAAGTATCTTCATATGTATATCCCCACCTACACACATTGAATATCTCCACAAGCATTCCTTATACATTTATCCATAAATACATTAAGCAACCAAGTTGGCTTCACACATCCTGTCTTATTCTCCACTCCATGTTAAACCATTTACTAAACATTCCATTTATTCTCATGCATCCTGATCTTTCATGCTGTTACTGAATTCTACAACAAACTTTCAACTCAATATTTCTGTAAAATATTCCATAATTCAAGACTATCATCAACTTTCATCTAATCATATATATCTCAACAATTAAATGATTTAAAATACACATACACATATGTTTGTGTGCATATTTGTGTGTGTATATCTCCATAGAATTGCCAACTATCTTCTGTAAAAACTCCTGTGTCTATGAATTCAGTCTTGAGAATCAAAAGATTAATGTACTATCTCTTTAAGCTATCAACTTTTTTTAAGCACCGATTCTTGTTCATATATTTTTACAAATATGCATGTATACATGTATTGTGATGGAAAGAGAAGTAAATTTTTCAGAAAAGCACACCCACTTTAATAAAGTGAAGAAACAGGTATTTCAGAGAGAAAAATTAGCTTGAAAAAGCTGTTCAGCGGAAACATTATAGGGGAGCTAATGGACCATGGAGGTATAGAAACAGTAGATTCAGAGCCAAAGAAAGAAAGAGAGAGTTAGCATTTCCCAAACTAGGAATTAAAGAGGACTACATGGAAATTGCATGGCAAGGGTTTGAGAATCTATATGGGAAGAAAGTGAAAATTGTGGTTAGGGGAATTAGATAAAAATACAGGAGGAAAGTAAAAGTAATAGAGTTGAAGGGCTAATGAAAGGCTTATTCCAGAAAGCTCTAATTTCTGTTAGCTGAAAAGATAGCTATGAATATCAATCCATTGTAACATTCAAGTGTCTGCTTTCAAATTCAGAACAGAAACGGAAATAATTTTTAAAGAGACTTTTTCTTAAACTCTTAATGATGCTGAATTCAAAATATCTAGACCATTATATACCTCTGGCTGTCTTATCCTTCAAGTCAACCCCATATTTTGCCAGGGACTGGATAATGTCACTCTGACCAACCATGCAAGTTGTAAATAATAGATTTCTCCCTATAATATCCTTTTCCATTAACAACTTGTTGGCTTTTTCATGATCAGGATCCTCCAAGTCCTCAAAAATCTGTTGTACTTCTTCTGTATCACCTCTTAAAGCAGCCCTCAGGAGAGGATTAAAATATGCTGATTCCTCTTGAGGCCCCAAATCCTCATGTTCATTTCTTTTTGCTGAGGCCACTGTTTCTTCCAAGGATTCCATGTCCTCAAGATTAGTCTGATAAAAAAACAAAAATGAAATATTTTAAAGAACATAATGGGTTATGGCTTGTACAGACCCAAAGCATCACCATTTCTCTCTACAGAATTTCATTCCTTTTTGTCCAAGACATTTCCAGAGTACTTTAGATCTCTATTCTCCTCACCCTCAGATCCCATTTTTGTTTGTTTTTTCTAGTCAATGTTTTTCAACCATATTTATGGCTGAAAATTAGAGGGTGCAGCCTATCCCCATTCTTTATGTTTATGTTGAGGCTTTTTTTGTGTGTCATAACGCAAGAAGCAAAAGATTAGGCACGCTCATTCAGAAAAATCACTCACAGCACAATCCTATGTACATTTACATAAAAGAAAGCTTCCAAGCTAGCTGTTTGTGATATTATGCAATTATTCCTAGAAATAGTGAGGGAACAAAGAGAATCACCAACGAAAAGCAAAATCGCCTGAACAACAATCCCCGCAAAATTCTACCATTGCGACACCCGACAGGGCATTGTTGCAGAACCATGTTGCCTAAAATCCTCCTCTGTCCCCGGAGCAGCAACCTATCCTTTCATTCTACATAAATAACCACCATATATACAGTACAGTAGTCAGTTAAACAAGAACTTGATCTAAACCATGGAATGAGTGGGCCTGACCTGTACCAACATTAGATTCTGAAACCCTCGCATCCTGACACAGCTCAAGACCAACCTCGCTGCAGCTCCCCAATGCTTTCTGGCCGCTGAGCACAGCAAGAATAACCTCGTCGCCATAGAAACCACTCAGCGTCGCTGAGGCCGGAACGTTTGAGCTGATGCTTGGAGTTCTTGCACGGAAAACTAAGAGAGGGGGATTACTTCCGGCGGGCGAAGCCTGGTGGGGCGGGGTGCTGGCTACTGGCAGTTTCCGGGACCAGTGGGAACTGTGGGAATCATTGCGGTTGTAGAAGTCGGGAAGGTCCTTCGTTCCTCCCACCCCCTACAAGATACAGAACCCCTGCCGATACATGGCATTTCCCTGCAACGGCTTCTGTGCTCGCCGCCGCCGCCGAGACTTAGAATAAGCTCACCCTTCCACCTGGGAGGTCAGTTTCCAGGGTTGGCAATGGCTGTAGTCACGGACAGTTCGGGGTAGGGGAGGCTATAAAAAGAATCCATGGGGAGAAGAGGTGGGGTGAGACCTTGGGCTGAAGGGCATGCGGAAGAATAACACTAGAAACGCCCAGCAAAATTAAATCAGGTCTACCTAATCTAGCATCTTTTTTTCAATAGCGGGCAGCTAGGTGCTTTCAAGATGCCTGCAAACAGGGTCAGGAGGTGAACGCCCTGCCTTCGGACTGAAGTGGTGTATAAATTTCATAAATAAATCATATAGTTGGTCACCCTTCCATGAATCAGTATTGGCTGTATACTACCTCTGAATGGGGTATCTTTGATTAGTTCCTATAGCTAAATGGCTATCAATAGAGCTCCATGTTTTACCTTCCCCATCCATGTCAAGATAATGGCCACCCCCCATATCTTGTTAAAAGTCCTGTTGCAGGAAAGGAAAAAGTTAATGTGAGTGAATCCCCAATGGTCTTTAGGGGGTTCGTACAAGGAGGGAATGCTGGAGAGGTGCCTAAGTTGCTGGTCAGGGATAGGTGAGGTGGAGGGGGGGAATGAGAAAGCTATTACATGAAAAATATCTGGAAGAGAGGCTCCAACTGTCATAAGAGATCTCTTGGATCAAAGGCAGGCTTTGAGAAGTATTCATTTTGAGTTTGTAAATGTCATCTGCCTTCTTTGTCAACTGTCCAGTCTCTTCTGTTCACTGATTTAGATAGCCTTTCTGTGTGCTTCTGTCTCTGAAACTAAAATTTCACTTGAGGAGAATGTTCAAGTATCACCTTTTGGAGGTGTTGTGCAGTGTCTATATATCTATTTAAAAACTATTCTACATGAACAAAAATTTATTTCAGTGCAGTAAATGAGACAACTATGGGTTTTTTTAGAGAAAACATTTCACATTCTTTGCCATTTATTTTTAGGCATTTGGGTGATACAGTCATCAGCCTTGCTGTTCTCAGTGGATAAAATGAGTTGAAGGCAAGGATTATTGATTATTAGGCTTCTGTCATACCTCTGTTTTATCACAGGGTGAGTGACTAATCATGTTTTTTTAATTTTAAAATTATGCATATAATCACAGCTGGACAAAATTTTTGCTTGGGATGTGGTGATGAATAAATATAATTTTTTAATTTCAGAAGATGCTGCTAAAGTTTGGACCATTGTGTATTTGGAAGATTTTAATCTTTTAAAATTATTTATTTAATAATTTAATTGTAGATACTTTTTGTGAATATTTATTGTTGAGTGGGATGGAAAAAAAATTGATAGTAACTTCCAGCACTTTGACTGCACTATATTAAATATGTTTACTCAATGTTAAATTCATAAATATTAAATCACACTTACAATGGTTGTAATCCTCATAAGCAATGTGTAATTGTTGCTTTAAATGTGCAAAACTCTTATTGATGGCAGATCTATATATGGTAATATCTCTGCCTTATGTATAGTCTAGTGCATGTTAGAATAATTCTCTATGTATAAGATTATAACTATAAGGTTTAATTAAACATATATTTGGTATGATTGTACTATACAACTGGGGACATAAGAGATCTCTTGGATCAAAGGCAGGCTTTGAGAAACAGGATCAATTTATATCAATCAAGATATCAATAGGTGGAAATTATTAACAATCCTTCACTTATCTTAGCATGTATTTTGTAGTGCTGCAGACTTTAATAATAATCTGACCATTTCTTAAATACATAACAAACCATAACAAACCATTTTATTTGTCTGTATTGTTACATAGCTTTGTTTTTTGGTTTTTTTGCCCAGGGCACAGCAATAATTTGAAGACTTCTCTTTGCAGTGCATGGACACAAAACCAATGCGCAGGTAATTGAAGTACTTGATTAAATAGATTGAATTGTGACATCACACTAAATTATGATTTATAATCAATGTATAGAACCTAGATAATGTTTGAGCTATCAAACAACAGGAGTTACAGCTTTCCATTTGTTATCTTTTTATCTGAGAACAGTGGTCCACCACAGTTGCCCCTGCATTTGGAAAGACAGATTCTGATATTCCAGTGCAGGAGTAAGTAATCTACAACCCTTCATGGCTTCTGAATTACAGTTGTCAGTGTCTCTCACAATTGGTCATGCCTTTCAGGACTGCTGAAGCTTCATCAAGTTGCCTATCCCCATTTAAATGCTTCATTATGTCCTCGGTAGATTTAAATTTTGCATCTATGTCATCTCAATAGGTGGCAGCATTTGGCCAATGTTGTTTGGTCTTGGAACCTAAGTGGAGTCAGGCCAGATTAGTACTTGGATGGGAGACCATCTGGGAATTCCTGGACTGTAAACTAGACTGGGAAGTAAAAAAAATGTTGGAAAAAAGGCAATGGTAAATCACTTTTGTACTGGGAAATATCCATGGAGTTATGAAGATTTAAGTTTCCTTCAGGGGTGGGTCTTTACCTTACTAGTTCCTACCTATGTGTTTGCATGATAATTAGTTTGATTTACAGCTACTTACCTGCTTTTCATGTACAATTATAGTTAGTCACCATCGTTTGATTAGTAATCTGATCTATATAGTTACTGAGAATAAAACTTGAATATGCAGTAACTATCTAAAATAGGATAATGGATAAGATATAGAAAACATATTTAAATAAAGTTTGCTTGCTTTGCCATGTGGCCTTCTGATTTGCTAGATGGCTGATTCAACAAGAGTTTACTTAATAAACCACTTTGTTTTCTGGTATCAGAAATGTGCCAGGGTCATACATTGAACAAAGCTATAATATATGTGGTTTTGGTGTTATTTGTAAACATTGCCACTATGACTTGTTCAATAAACCATGGATATAACTTGATTTGTTTTCCTTGCCTATGTCTTTTCATACTGTGGTTTATATAGGAAGCCCAGGAAGAAAGTTACTTCTCCTTTTACAGAAAACTTTACTTAGAGAGCCGACTGAAACTGTGATATCTTTCTGCTTGAGGAATGATACCCTTTTTACTAGTTTCTTTTTTGACCATGTTATAAATTGAAAACATCCCATGCATCCTATGGGATTTTTTTTTTTTTTGGTTTATTACTGTTTTTCTGAGTTTAGATGTCATAAATTCTTTGACATTTCTTCAATTTTATTTAAGGAGAAAGTGTGCACTGTTATTCCTGTCTTGCAGAACAATTTGGATCATAGAGGATTGTATTGTGTTGCTTGATAGAGTAAATGTTTCATTCCAGTATACTCTTACTGAATATAGCAGGGCTTCTTTAAAGAAATATATTGAAATGTTTTAGGTAACAAAAATGCCATAGAAACAAGAAGAGCAATAAAAAGCACTCCCCAAGACCTTTTAAAATCAAATTCTAGTCTTCCACATTATAAACATACAAGTCAGAAAGCAAATACAGTGGTACCTCGGGTCACGAACACTTCTGTTCACGACCAATTCGGGTCACGAATGGCACTGTTCGCAAAATTTTGCTTCCGTTCGCGAACGCCGGATTGGGTGACGAACAGGATCCACGGCCATTTTCCCTCCCGTGA